AAAATATATACAATATAAAATCAAAATAATTTTATGTCTTATTTAACTATGACTTTAAAGCAGCGACCTGGACATGAAGGAGAACTTGTTACATAACTCACAGAACAGCCTCGCCGAACCGGTCCAAACAATCAGAGAAGGCTTGCCTCGACCACGAAGCGGCGAATTTCGTGCTTTATTTGAGGGTAACACTCCATGACAGTAAAGAAAACAAGCATCAAAGTAATTTTACACATATAAATAATTTTAATTTATGTACATTCATTATTTAAGAAAGATAGGTATGTACGAATATAAAAAATTACAGCAGTTAACTTTATAATAAAATCATATGATGAATTAGCAACTCAGCGATATAAAACGATGCCACATCGTATGTATTGAATTTCTATATGTATATATTTATATAATTATATTTATGAAATATATATATATCTATGTCCACAAATAATTAATTAAAATTTCAGCTCCGCTAACTGTGATGATTTTAATATAAGAATACAGAAAATAAAATCGTTAAAGAAATAATACTACAAATATAAAAAGCAAAGTTTTAGATAACATAGAAAATATGTATTTAAGCCTATTCATTGATCATTAATGTAATCATATAATAAATCAGAAATTTGCGACGACGACTCTTCATTTTATTACACAAATATACACATCTAATTAGCGTACAAATAATTTCACCTTCATATTCATGAATAGTAAAAATATGTTGAAAATGTAGTAGAACAAATATTATTTGTCATAGAAATATTTTCAATTTCTTAAGGTTTAATTAATAAAAGATTGTTTGCCATTAAGTCTAAAATTAAAATGGATAAAAAAATTTGAAACGGAAACAATGTATGAACGACAATTGTTATATTTTCAGAAAAAAACAGATTTTAATCTATTATTTATTTATTTGTATAAAAATATTAATAGCAACTTAGTTTGAAAAATGATGTAAGTATTTTATTATACATAACTTAATAAAACCAGAAGGATAATGATTGCCTTAAATTAATAAATTCTTTTCATTAAATTTTTTTTTAAATAATCTATTACCAAAACAGTCAAGTCTATGCCGAGGTACCGTTGTTCTTGTTTATGTATCGCTCTTGTTATAGGGACGTTCCTCACAACTTATTTCGTGCAAGCAATATTTTTGTAAATTTAATCCTGAAATTCCAAAATTTTGTTTAAAACCAAAAATTTTAAATATGCAACTTTAAAGAATGTTTAGTTGTAAACTAACTTTGATCTCTAACAAAAAGATCAATATTCAAGAAGTTATGTAAACGGAAACAAACATACATCAAATTCTGATCTCACAGTTTTTTATCAGATCAGGTCAGTTTATCAAAACAAGCCTGTGAGCTTTGGTTTTAATTTTTATTATAATCTCGTTTATTGGCAACCATTCAATAAGAGTTTTAGATACTTCTTTAGAAATAAGAATTGCCACCCTTTCCATATAATGTTCGATTTCTAGTCTAACTGAGTAAATAAATTCCATGTTATGATCACGTATTACTCCGCTGTCATTGGATCTAGTCTCTTGGATGGCAGGAATATTAAATTTATAGTTAGACACCTCATTTCGAAGTTCTGTAAATTTTCAACTTTCATATAAAGTCCGTACATTCTAGGATGCAATTCGAATCGATCGCTTCATTCCGATAGTGTTTCTTCAGGAACAATAAGAGTTGTTATTGCGGTTTAAGTGCAGTTTTTGATCTATTGTTGAGGTTTTATTCATTGTGTTGATATTTCAGTGTGCATTTGGCACCTTAACATCCATTGTACCAGCTGCAGCTTGTGCAGGGAGATTTTCGAAGCTTATTCGATAACTCCATGAAGACAGATTTTCTTCGATATTTGAATCTATGCATAAACATCAAAAATTTAAAAAATAGTGGATGTTTGATGAGTTTAATGACCATATTTGACACATATTTGACGCTCTTAACCACATCTAACCTGTGATCAGACGTCAGGTATGTGGATTGCTTTTAGCTTCCGTACTCACCTACGACCTTACCGGCAAGAAAGACGCTGTCAGTAGCTACCACCGGCGTCGCTCTCAGGATCATTATACATACTGAGCCCCTCCACCACGTCTCCTATTATATTGCATAATTAAAAGTTGTTTATATAGTTTGAAAAATTTAATTTGTAAATACATATTTACAATATATTACAATTTCGAAAAGTACAGTTATAAAATAATTTATGTTTAATATAATTATATTACTTATTTCATTCGTAATGAATTCCTACTTAGTTGCATCTTATTTTCTATTTGCTCCACACAACTTCAGTTTTAATTTTTATTAATTAGTCTGAAAAATAAGTAAAAAAATTAGCATTAAATTAATTGTTACTACATTAATAAACAAAAATCCCTGACCATCAATTCGGTTCTCGCCGAAAACATAGCACAACAGAACAAATTCATAGACTTGTCAGAAATATCCATAGTGCGATAGATGGTAAGAAATATTGCACTGCGGCATTTATAGATATTTCGCAAGCTTTTAATCGAGTATGGCATGAGGGCCTTTTTTTCAAACTAAAACTGAATCATACCTCTCGGCAAGGCACTTTTTCATTAAGAAGCATAATGCGACAAATGCTTTATCTTCTATATTCTGGAAACCACATACATTTGAAAAGCGTAAAGACTTAGGTTTCAAATGGTGAAACTTATTTTGGTTCTTCAGCCGAAATTCCAAACTGTCACTCAACAATAAGCTGCTTATATACAAAACTGCACTAAAACCTATATGGAATTATAGAGCCTAATTATAGTGTACTGCATCACACTCAAACTTGGCAATTATCCAGAGTTTTCAATCTAAAACACTACGAATGATCACAAATGCACCTTGGTATGTAACGAATGAACAGCTGCATAAACAATTACGTGTTCCGACAATCAAGGAAGAAATATTTCCTATTACAAAGAATTACGCACATCGCATATATATCCATCCAAACTAGCTGGTTACACACCTGATGTCCCCCTCCAATACTTTTACAAGGCTAAAAAGAAAAACATCGAGAGACGTTTTAGATATATATATGTAGGTCTTACACTTCTATTTTAAGTATATATGGATATGTCACTGGACACAGTCCATACGTGCCATTCTTTTTTAGATCGTAATAAATATTATTACGTTTCATATTCATTAAAAAAAAAAAAATTACACATAGCTATATATTAGGAGCACTATTATGTACTTACCATGTTAAGTTGTAAGGAATTCCGTATTAAGTTCGAATTCAGCAAAACCCTTTGTAACAAGTGCCTTATTAATTTGAAATGGTTTATTTGTACTGGTATCACAAAGCGCTAAATGGTAAACTCGGTCCTACACAAAAAAGATACAAATTATTTGAAAAACTAAGTAAAATACAATAATTTAAAAATAATTATGCCGAAAAATATGTTAAAATCATTAACTTATTTAATAAGAAATACCAAAACTAAGGTCCGTTACTTAAAAATAATGAATTTTAATGGAAAATACACATCTATAAATGCACTCAAATCAGATATATATTTTGATATGAAAGTGATTTAAAAAAATGATCTCGGGTGGCAAAAATGATATATTTAACAGTTACATAAATCCAATAACTACATGCTCCGTGATAAAAAAATAAAGTAAAATATTTGTATCAGAATGTACGTGGGACTTTCGATCCTAACATCTGTATTAAAAGGTACAGTTTTTTTTTATTTTTATGGTTTGGTTTATTACAAACTCCATTTACCAGGCCAAACTTTTTATAAGAAATATTATATTAGAGTTATGCAATGTTTACGTAAAGGCCAGAATTATGGGTATACATGGTTTATGGGAACCGTACTGTTGTCGCTATTACAAAAATATGAAGAGATGAAAAAGAAGCAATTATTGTAAAGATACCTAAAAAGCGCCATCGAAGAACGTGTGAAGATTGGCGCAAAATATCTTTTCTAACAGCAATTTTAAAAATCTCTACTCAAATTTTTTTAGAGCGAATAAATGCACCATTAAATAATCTTATACGACCAAACCAGATCGGTTTTAGATCGGGTCATTCGTGCATCTATAAAATATTCATATCGTAAGAATCCTTATAGAGCAGTAAGCTGAATACAATACATACACCCTTTTATCTGGTGTTTATCGATTTTCCAAAAGTATTCGATGCATTAAAACGTGACGTTATTTGATCTGTACTTTCGGCTAGAGGTGATAAACCTCTTTTGGCTAGAGCTTTATTTCGGTAAAATAAATTATATTATTAAAAATATGTACGATGGGTCTTGTTGCCGAGTACTGCATGAACAACAATTTACCGAATCTTTTCCGACCGTATTAGGAGTTAACGTAACTTGCTCCGTTGCTCTTTATAACTGCATTAGACTTAGTATTTGAAACATACAATGGATGTGGCATAAACTGGAAGATAATACAAAAATTAGGCGATCTGTCATATGCTAATGGCATTGCTTTAATCAGCAACACACTCTATGATATGCGGAACAGGTTATCAAATTTAACAAATGACGTTTTGCAGCTTGGCCTAAAAATTAACACAAAGAAGACCAAATCCGTGCTTAATTCGCACGTGAGCAACAATACACAGCTTAAAATATCTGGAGGAATTGTAGATGATGTACAAATATTTGACTATCTGGGTAACATTCTGACACCTGACGGTGGCACAATAGTTGATATTCAACGTAAAATATCTAAAGCAGCGATTCCCAACCGTGAATTAAATGAATATGGTTGATGATAAAAATCAAACATTTACAAAGGAAAAAAAATTTTGTTATACAGTGGAAAAAATTTTAGTTTCGCAATAAAAAATTTCTAAATTGCAAAACTATCGGAATAGTCTTTAACGCATCTATAATATGATGTTTAGCTAGACATAATTCTTTAAAAAAATGTTTTAAAACGAATTCGTTTTAAAATACTATTCCTAAAATGAATGAATACAAAAAATCATCGACTTGAGTAGAAACAAGAATGATGTCCGTACTTTACCAAAAATATCATCCTATAGAGACAAAAATGGTAACTTTGGTACGGATACACATAATGTACTAAAAGTATGAAGAAACATTTCTCTAAACTATTATCTGGCGATGATGATATCGATTTCGATTTGGATGGTATGCTGTCGAAGTCCTCAATCGAAAATCATGGTGTCGAAGTTTCACCACCTAGCCATAACGAAATACGTGTTGCTATAGCAACTATAGCGACTATAGAACAACAAAGTGTTCATGTAGAATTGTTTAAAGCCGGTGGCGATATGACTATAGATAGCATGCATCAGTTCATCTCCAGAATTTGGTTGGAACAATATTACGCGATTTCAGCACCTGGCTGTACTGTTAGCCGAAGCCCAGTACTTGATTGTTAAAGTCCTTTTAGTTCCTTTTAGTGGAACCAATCTATCGCGTTTACGATTACTGTATATATATTATTTACCTGTTTATTTATTTTTGATATTTGAGCAAAAATTAATTTCGAAATTGTTTTTGAAATGAAATATTCCTTTGCACCTATATCCCAGTACTGTCCTTTTGGTTGGATTTGTGATAAACATCCTCGAATTCCTTGTTTTGGTAGTGCAGCAAAAATTGATATTAAAAATTTTAAGCAATAAGCAGGAACAGTTAATATTAGTCCGTAATCAACACAATACACCTAATAATTATTTATTGCTACGCAATGAAGTTATTAAATAATTTATTAGTTATAAAATAAATACCTTTATTATATTTTTATTAATTCTATCAATCACTTCAGCGCGGTACCATATATTGTTTACTGAAGCTGCACACACCTGCCCAGCTAATAAAAATGTGTCCGGTATTAGCCATCTTTTTGGTAGAAGTGAATTGTAAAATTCTCTATAACAAGAAAAATAAAAAAATAATGTTTTTTAAAAACGAGAGAGTTCAGCGAGAGAGTGTACTTCACAGTACAAAAGAACAATCACAAAGATCCACAAAAAAATCTTCTACAAGTTCTTCTAGTTTTAAGATTAATTATAATTAATAGAAATAACCATAAAACTAATATATTTGTGTTTTCATTGTACATTGCAAGACTTATTAACGCACTTAAGAACTGTCTTATGTGAATACTCTTATAACGTGTTCAATAAGAGCGAAGAGGGGTGTTCTACGAATGACATCGAAGATAATATCGGTTTAGACAGATTTTTTAATCGCTAGAAATTTGACAGAGATGCAGAAGAAAAAGAACTAGCAGATAACATATAGATTAGATTGGATAGAAGAAGAAAGAAATATCTTTATCTATCACTTTATCTAAGAGAAAGTGGATTTCACTAATGTATGCCAATTTTTTCGCTGATCGGGCACAGTTAGCGGTTTTAACGCGTCTCCTTAACTTAATCGGAAAACCAATTGGGTTATTAAGAATAGCAGGTTGAGTCATTTTGTATGGCTCCTTCTAGCAAATCATTTCAAAGGCAATATTTTCTACGGGTATAAATATTAAGCATATACTTATATGTACTCATGCAGTTTAAAAAAAGTTATAAAAAAATAATAAGCTTTTATGAAAAAAATTGGTATCACGTATATTCCGATTTATTTACAAGTTTTATACATATCGTTTTATCGTAATAGCACTAGTTTCTAGCCAAATTTTCATTTTGTGCTACTATATTTTTAATATGTATTTTGGTCTACTAAATTCTAAAATCATATATTGTCAGACTCCGAGTTTTATAAAACATGTCTACGTATTTGAGAGTGTCCAGTATTTATAATTCTTACACTATTATTCTCTGAGAGCGTCACACTCATGAGGGCATGAAAAGATACATATAAGCAATACTACAAAAGAAGTAACAATGGGGGTATTCAGGCAACTGATTAGTTGCTTAGTAGTTGATTACAACAAAAATTTGCACACAAAAATGAAACTAAGCACGGAATCAACTATTTCGGTGATTCTCAGATTAGTACAAATTTGAATAATAGTGCTGCTAGTCCCAAATGTCGTAATAATAACTTAAAATGAACTTTTGTATAGAAATTTGTTAGCTATCTCTCTCAGCTGTTTGAATTGTGTGTAAACAATTTTCACTGTTAACGTATGTTTCGCTTTTGCTGTTGATGCGAGTGCTGCCAAGGCATTTACACACAACAAACTAATCAAATTAACATCAAAATGCTAAATTTTTTTTATATGAAGTTTTTGAATGAACTAAGCAAGTAATCAGTTGCCTTGAGCTGGAGTCGAAACCATGTTTTTGTTAGTTATTTCGACCACATCTTTAGGTGTTGTTTCATAGAGGCCAAATCCATCAGCTAAACACTTCTCGTTGGCGATATCTTCGGAAGTACGTATTTCTGATGATAACTCATTTTCTTGATCTTTTCGGTTACGAATTTTGGCTTTGCACCGTATCTTTTGTCAAACTGCGCTTTCATTTTGAGTTGTGTATCGCACTTGTTTTTAAGCTTGGCATTTGGGTCTGGTAAAGACACCAGCGTTGGCGATTTACTGTCCTCATTTTGCTTATTCGGAGTTGATCGGTAAACTTGTAGAAATATTTGAAGATTTTCAGCAGTTACCCTCTTCCCATTTAACTTTTTGAGTGCTCGCTTTAAAGTATCCACAAACCTTTCGGCTTGTCCATTTGACATGGGATAGTACGGACTGCTTTGTATATGATTAATGCCGTTTTCCGCTAAAAACTGTTGAAATTGATGACTCACAAATTAAGTACCATTGTCTGAAACTATTCTTCGGTAACCCAAATCTAACGAAAATTTCTTTCAAGCTGGAAATTGAGTTGCTGTTAAAGATTTTGTTTGTATAATTTCGTGCCATTTTGAGAACGCATCGATTACGACCAAATAGTATGAATCTATTGGTCCTGCATAATCAATATGGAGCCGTTCCCAAGAATCAGAAGGTTTTGGCCAAGGATGTAAAGATGTTTTTGTGGGCATTTTAGCTGCTACGACACAATTTGAACAACTTTTCACCATTGCTTCAATATCGTAATCGATATTTGACCAATAAACATAGTTCCGCGCAATGGCTATGCTTTAATGACCTCGGTGAATTTCTTTAAGAATGCGCTTTCCTAAAACTTGAGGTATAATAATGCGTTGTCCGAACATTAAACATCCGTCATCTATACATATGTCGTTTTTTCGGTTAAAGTAAGCTTTTAACTCACTGTTGTTGCAGTTTGATGGCCATCCTTCAGTTACATATTCGAAAATTTTAGCTAAAACCTTGTCCTTAGCTGTTTCGT